AGAATGGGGTCGAGAACTCCCTGGGTGCTCACGTCAGGAAAGCATGGTGAGGTCACGTCTGGGGAGGGAGAAGCCCTCCCTCCACCTCCTCCCCCATCGTCCTTTCCTTTGCTGCTCCTCTTCCTCCTCCTCATCCTCCTCACGAGCCTTCCAGGCCTCCTCCAAAGATCACCCCTCATCCTCGAGGGGGGGAGAGGGGGGGGAGTGAAGTGGGGCGTGAGGGGAAAGGGGAGGAAGGGGCAGAGGGGAAGGAAGGGCCAGGAGAGGGAGGAGAGGGGGAGGGAGGAGCTGCAGAAACAATTGGTTGCCGAGCACCTGGCTGCCTGCCGGGGAGGGTTAAGGCAAGGAGTCGCACGCAACATTCTGGTAAACCAATGCAAACGTAGTGTTTATGTAATCCGTCCTGGTGGCAGAGAGGGAGAAGGAGGAGGAGGAGGAGGAGCAGCAGCAGCAGCAGCAACAGCAGGAGCAGGAGAAGGAGGAGAGGAGGAGGAGGAGGAGGAAGAGGAGGAAGAGGAGGAGGAGGAGGAGGAGGGGGAGATTGGAGAGATTGGAGAGACTGGAATGCCGTTCTGGGGGACGGCGCTACGCGGGGCTGGGCGGTGGTGGACAGCAGATCCTGGCTGGCTCAACCAATGCACCATGGTTGCGTCGCTGTGTGTCGTGCTGTGGAGGCGAGGGAGGAGGCAAGGAAGAGGGACAGCTGGAGCCCCCATATCTCGGCCGTCGAGCCGTCGTTGCCCGCGGCTGGTCCGAAGGCGGCCCCAGAGGGGAAGGGGGAGCACGAGGAGACAGGGAAGCAAGAGGACGTGAAATGGACGAGAGGCAGGAAAGAACGGGGGCGACAGCAAGACAGCCTCCGATATGGACATGCGCTCCATGGAGGGGCCACGTTCAGTACCGACCCGAAGGGGTGGGGGCCTGGTGCGGCGCGCGCGCGCTGCCTCGGAGCCACATGGGGGGCATGATCACATTGTCATGGTGGCGACGACAATGACGACGACGGCGGCGATATCCTGTTACCATATCATTGGGCCCGAATGGCACCACCCTTCTGGCACCCGCCAGAATCTGCTGCAGCACCTCATGTTCTCGACGAGGATGTGCGATGACGAAGCTGACGATGATGACGACGATAAAAATGTCAAGGCCCTGTAGGGGCACGGCCGGGACGGGATTGGCCATCACAGCAACTCGCGGACAACCAGCTTGCGTTCGGTCAGGGCCTTCCCGCGAGCACGAAGGAGAGCCTCCAGGGCCAGCGGATCCGAAGCGGCCCTGTGTCCTGAGGCTGTTACAAGATGCAGCAGGTCGTGCACACGCAAACAGTAAGGGAGCCCGCCTGAGGCACGATGATGGCGATGTCAGCTCCAGTCGCCCGGCGGCACTACCCCCGTTCATACGCCAGCCCCAGCGCGACACTTCAGCGTGCGAGCTTGCTCGGCTCGGGGGAACACCTTCATCCTGGCGGAACGGGCATTGTATCGCCCTGGGGCCACATCACAGCACCACTTTTGAAAGCACTACTGCGCGATTCCTGGGGTGGGCAAGTGGCGCAGAATACTCATACGCGCACACACACCAATCACTTGAAAACATGTGAGCGGCACGCAACTCAAAAAGACGCACAAGGGGTGGTCATACTCCGACCACGTGCGCACAAGGACCATGTGCGCACAAGGGATGCAGGCCAACTCCAACCGAAGCCTGCAAAAATATCAACTGAGGCCATTCCTGGTATAACATGGTGTGGTGGAAACCGCATCCACGCATTCAACATTTACAACAAAGCAAACCCAACTGAACCGACATAATTCGGGGATGGACGTCGGAGCGAACAGATCGCGAAAATCCACGTGTTTGGGAGGGACATTTCTGAAGGTTCACGATGTGTAACGGACTGCTCCATGAACCGCAATGGAAACAACGATGTGCGATTTCCCTCTGCGCGTTCCACAAGCCTGAAGCTGGCGCTGTGTGTACAGTCACAGCCAGTCGCAAGGATGGAGCAGAAAGGTGAAAGGCACTAAGGACGCGCCAAGTCATCGGGGGCCCTTGAACGGACGTATCAGAAAGCATGACACCCTCGCCAAAACCGAGGGATGCAGAAGTCCCTTAGCCCAAAGGCGCATGTTTGAGGTAACTGTAATCAAAATCGGAGCAGACCCCTCTCCTCGTCGACTGCGTCGACCCTCCGATGAATCATTAGCTGGGCACCCTTGAAGCTTCAGCAGCAGGTGCAACCGTATAACTTAAATGATAATGGCACAGGCTAGTCATGCGCCTGTGTGTATGTGAACTTCCTGCGATGATGCCTGCAAGCCCAATGTGCTTTCCACAGCGCTGGCTCCCGTCCCCCTCTCCCATAACCGATGTGGTATTACACTGATATTGGCTTACTGTTTACGCCCCCGCTGGCAGCGCACGCCCACGCGGGCCCCGCCAAGCCTCCTGTGTTCCCGCTTCCCGCCACGCCTCCGGTTGATAAACAAAACGATGGCATCTAATTTCAGTACTCCAGATTTCGTAATAAAAGGGAGGGGGTCTGGACCCTCCAAGACGAGCCATTTCAGACCCCCCCCCGTGGGAGGACCCTCCAAAACATCGTCCCCAGACCCCCCCAGGCCTTCCAAGATGGCCTGGAAGAGACCCCCCCCGAACTGAGACCCCCCTCCCTCTATTACGAAATCTGGAGTAGTCCCAGGGCCCCGAGGCCCCTCACCAACCAGAGGAGGAAAAAGGATGATGCGAGCGCCGCGACGGACACGCGCCCCGAGCCTGCCCACACGTGCCCGCAAACACGAATTCGCGCGGGTGGAGAACTCTCCCTCCGACTACGGCTTGCCATCTTCGTCCGCTCCAAACCACTCCCCGGCTTCCTCCTGCTCCTCCCGCTCATTGCCTGGGGCATTACCTGGAGATGGGGAGAGAGGGGAGAGGGAGGGCGGGGAAGATGCGAGAGGTGGGGGAACGGAGAGGGGAGAGGGGAGGGGGAGGGCAGTGGGAGAGGACTCAGGAAGAAGAAGAAGAAGAGGAAGAAGAAGAACGGCACCAACACCACTCAAGGAGCAAGCAAGGGTCTCTGGGGGAAAGGTACCGACACCTCGACTCCCGACCTCCGCAGGGCAGGGGTGCACTCTGGCCAGCAGTTCGAGGCGAGCCCAGCCGTCGCGACGAGGGAAGGGCAGCAGTGTCAGTTGACATGTTCTTCTTCTGAGCCCCCGTGATGGCATCTCGGCTTCTCGGCGTCTTGCGCGACACAGCTCCAGACCAAGGAGACCTCGTGGGCCTTACCGCCAGGGGTGGGGCCCTGCCGTCGGTGCCAGTGGCGTCGTGCCTCGCTGCTCCGGCCCACTCTGGCCCACTTTGCTCCCCCTGGGCGCGGCGGCGAGCCCTTGGCGGCGCCCTCCCCCCCTCGCCCCTCCATCCCCCACGCTCCCCCCCGGCCCCCTCCGCCCGCCTGCAGTCAACCCGTAGAGCAAGGACGCACGATGAGGATGCAAGGGCCTTGGAAGGCCTTGTCGGCACAAATTGCGAGCGGAGTGCGGCCAGTGAAAGCGGCCAAGGATGGGCCGAAGGGGAAGGATGCAAAAGGGTAAGCTTGGAAAGTCGCTCAGCCTTACGATGCACGCTGACTGTATATAAGGGTTTCGAACAATGCCATAAACATAAAAATTTGAAGGTCCGCGCGGACCTCCGAGTTGTTTATGTTTATGCCTTTTTCGCCCGCCAAATATAATACCTGGAGGAGCAAACAAGTGAAGGGTATGGATGCAGAGGGAAGGATGCAAAGGGGTAAGCTTGGAAAACCTCTCGTCCTTACGATGCGCGTGGATTGCACACCTGGAGGACAAGGCAAGCGAACAGGCACGCGCTGCCGGAGCGAGCGGCGCTGGAGGCGCCGCCAGGGGCCCAACGCCGATCCGAAGACCTCCGCGCGGGGCTCCAGAAGTGCATGCCTATGCTTGGGTGGCACGTGTCCTCCTACAGGCGGTTTTGGACGAACGATTGAAAATAGTACAAAAATTAACCCAAAGATGCAGACAAATACTCAAAACCTCGTCCCCAGATTATATTTTACCGTTTTGGAATACTCCTCCTGTAGAGGGACAGACCCGACTTACGCCTAATTATGCAAGTCTCTACTCTTCGACCCTCCCCCCCCCCCTCCCGATCCCACCTTGGCGGCGCGCTCAAGGGGTGTAGGGGGAGGGGGAAAGGCTTTCGAGAAGGAGGCTGCCTCCTAGCAGGCGCTGGCCCTGCACCTGTAGACGAGGCCCGCGCCTTCTGGGAAGCAGCGGTGCTTCTGAGAAGCCTTTCCCCCTCCCCCCAACCCACCCCCCGCTCGCGCGTGGCCGACCTCCCTACCCCCCCCTTCTCAACGGCCAGGCTTTGCGGGCGGGACTCGGGGATTGGGGAAGCAAACTCTCCCACTCCCGATCCCTCCCTCCCCCGGGGGAACGCCCGACAACTCTCCCACTCCCGATCCCTCCCTCCCTCCGGCAACTCTCCGACGACTCTCCCACTCCCGATCCCTCCCTCCCTCCCTCCCTCCCGCCGACAACTCTCCTGCTCCCGATCCCTCCCCTCCCCCTCCCCCGCTCCTCCCGGGGGGAGCTCGGCATGGGAGCGGGCGGCCCTTTCTCGCGCCCCGGCGTCGCCCTTCGCTCGGCGGCCCCCGCGTCGTGCCGCGGGGTCGCAGCGTCGGAGCGGCGGGGGCCGCTCGTCAATCCCACCTGCGCCCTTCGGGGCGCAGGCGGTCTGGGGCGCGTCGTGGTGTGCTCGAAGCGTCACAAGAACTGAGGCAAGACGACGCCAGGACGAGGATAGCATCGGGTGAGTTTGAAGTCCAGAGTCTCTGAGATCCCGAGGCTCTGGATGATGTCTCGGGCCCCGCAGCCTTCTCGGAGCGTTCCGGCAGGCTCTGAGGGCGTTCGGGGACGCTCTGGAACGGAGTTATCCTCGCCCTAGCCGCCCCGTCCGACACTCGTCAATCCCACGTGCGCCCTTCAGGGCGCAGGCGGTCTGGGGCGCTTCCCGGCGGCGAGCGAGAGGGGAAGTGAGAAGGAGAAAGCCCTCTCAAAGCGGCGGGACTTCTCGAAGCCCTCGCGACTTCTGAGGGGTTTTCTGTATTTGGGGACGAAATGAACAACTTCGCGGAAAGCTGGAGGACTCCTGAGCCTTCTGAGAAGGCTCGCCCCTTCCCCCCCAGGCTTGCCGCCGAGCTTCGCGGTGTGTGCGAAACGTCACAAGAACTGAGGCCACCTAGGCGAGCCGAACAACGGCACCGTGTCGGAAGGGAGTATGCACTCTGCACACACGCACAACAAAAAGCCAGGCGCGAAACGCCTGGCCAGATGCAGGGAACAATGGCCGGGAGCATGCGGCGGGATACGAGAACGGTACCCATGAACGGTACCACATTTGAACTCCCCTCAGGCCCCGCTCCAACGCGGGACGGTGCAGGGTAACTCGGCCCTGAGAGGCCGAGAAACTGTGCAAAGCGTCATCCCTGAGCCGATGATCGACGACGCCTCCGGAGACGCCACAGCGGTACGTTGCACACATGTCGTCCGCGGGAATTGAGCAGGGACCGACCGTCCTGCCACTTCTATTGGCCTACCACGACGACGTGCTCCTAGAACAAAATATTGCTCTTATCAAAACAACTTATCTGACCATGAAGCCGATGCATTAAAACAAGACGGCCACAGCCAGACATGCTCTACGAATCTGCGCGCAAGCCACAGCAGAAGGTTCCTAGAACATTCCTTGGTGGGCCTATGGGCAAGCCAAGACGCCTCGCCACTGCTTGCGGGATGGGGGGGAAAACCAATGACATAAAAATCCGCCGACCCTGTCGGCGTGCGTGAAGGGTCTGTCTGGTCCCGTCGACGGGACGCCTTTTCTGTTTCTCCTTCTCCGTCGGGAGGGAGAGACCACTCGAGCACTCTCCCGTCGTCGGGGGAAGGAGTTCGGGGATTGAGGGAAATCGACCCACGTCGTAGTCACGTCAAAAGGAAGCCTTCCCCGGCGGGGGGCGGGCGTCCGGGGGGGGGGGGAGGGGCAGACTTGCATCGCCCCCTCTCCCACGCCAGTCCTCCACTGGTCCTCCTCCCAAAGGGGGGCCCAGGGGGGAGTCTTTTTCCTCCTCCTTCTCCTCCTCCTCCTTATCTCTGGCTCCTCCTCCTCCTCCTTTTTCTTCTCCTCCTCCTTCTCCTTCTCCTTCTCCTCCTCCCCCTCCTGGTCGTCGTCGATGTCTTTCAGGGTCGGCGGCACCGGCAGTCAGGCCTTCACAATAAAACAAACTCGGAGGTCCGCGCGGATTTCTCGGATCGACGCTGGACCCGCCTCCCTAGCGCGCGGAGCGCGCCAGGGGCGGCGCCGCCAGGGGGCCCCGCTCCGAGGAATCCGCGCGGGCCTCCGACCTGTTGCCGTTTCTGCCACTGCTTGTTCCCTCAACGGGGGGCGGCCGAGAGGGGGGCGTCCAAGACGGGAGGGCGCAAACCATGGCCGGCGGCATGTGCGCGGCCCAAATAGGAGGCCAGGGACGCGATGAAATACGAAGAGGCGCCGTGAAATCTGGGAAATATCATGGCCCACGCCATGATATACCCCCCCCCCTAGTCATGGCCCCCCTCTTGGCCGCCCCCGACGTAAGGGAGAAGGGGTCATTGACTGCGCACGAAGGCGCGGGCCTCCCGCGGTGGCGCCCGCCCCAGCGCCAGCTGGGCGGCCCGCCCGGCGGCGCGCCGCGCCCGCCGCGGGGCCGCGCGGCTCAGGGCGCCCGCCAGCCGGGACGCGAGCCTGCGGGGGCCGCTGGTCGGGGGAGCGCAAGCACGGGTTGGCGCCAAATCCATGGATCGGGGGAGGGCGCGACGTTCGCGCGAGCAAAGGAACTGACAACCCCACATTCTTCCTATATATATATATATATATATATATGCATACTAGAACCGTGCGCGTGCTTCGCGCGCGCTTCGGTTCTAGCCAAGCTCAGGGACGGGATTTGCTGTGAAGCTATTTGCACGAGGACATATGGAGTCAACAAGAGGGGGACAGGGGAGGAGGGAAGCCTCAGTGTGTTTCTTTGGGGCGTCGGATGGCCGCGGCCGATATTACTTCTAATAGAATGAGCGGGTTCGCGCAGAGTGAGGGCGTACAAGGCAAGGCGCACAAGAGGGATGGTGCAGAGCAGGGCTTGGCAATGAGAGGTCCAAGCAATAGCCCACGCGAGGAAGGTGCACGACGCGAGCACCGCTGAGATATCCAAACACTTCGGAGGTGGTGTGGCCCTGCCCCGTGGTGGTCCGGTCGTTTTCGCCTATGACATTCTCGCAGCTCGGGTTTCCGATATGCCCTGCGCTGAGGTGGTGTGGCCACCTTTGCCTGAGGCATCTTCGCAACCCTGACCTCTGAGATGCCCTGCCTGATTGTGGTCATTGCTTCTCGCCTGAGATAGCCCTGCAACTGTGGGTGATGAGATGCACTGAGCTCAGGTGGTCAGGCCACTTCCGCATTAGACATCCTCGCAACTCTCACCTAACTCTCACCTCGAGGATGCTCTGCCCCCTGGTGGTCCGGCCGCTTTCGCCTGGGGCATCCTCGAAACTCTGGGTTCCGAAAGGCCCTGAGCTGGGGTGGTCAGTCCACTTTCGCCTCAGACATCCTCGCAACTCTGACCTAGGAGATAAGACGCTCCATGGTGGCTCGGCCACTTTCGCCCAGGACATCCGGGGAACCCTGGATTCCGAGATGCCCTGAGCTGAGGTGGTCAGGACACATTGGCCTGAGATATCCTTGCAACTCTGACCTCATGCCCTGTCCTACGGTGGTCCAGCCACGTTCGCCTATGACATCCTCGTAAACTGTGGACGCTGAGATGTCATGAGCTGAGGTGGTCATGTCACCTCCGCACGACGACGACGACGACGACTACGACGACGACGACGAACAACGAACTCGGCGACGACAGCTGGCCATCCGGGGTCGTCCTGGAGGCGTCTGGCGCTCCTCACTGAAGCATCTGAACAGTTCGTTCGGATCTCGTGGCAGGTCTCTTGGGGGGCTCCTGGAAGCAGTTCCGAGGCTCGGGGCCGAGGGCCCAGAAAGTCCGTTCGGATCCCCCGTCCGGGCCCCTTCTTAAAGCCGTCTTGGGGCCCTCTTGGGCCATCTTGGGTGTCTCTTGGGCCGTCTTGGGTCCCTCTTGGGTTATCTTGGGGTCTGTTGGGCCCTCATGGGGCTTCTTGGACTGTTTGGAGCGTCAGAAAAGCGAAAAGGTGCTTCTGCTAAAAATGTACGTTCCCAAAGGAATTGGAATGTTTTGCCCTCTTGGGGGCATTTTGATAAGCCTGTGGGAGGCACCTTGAAGCGTCGGGGCGCGTTCTAGCGACGCCTTGGGGCCATCTTTTTTGTTGTTGCCCTTACGGTGCGCTTCACCCATCTCGCGTTGCCAATCTCGCTTCGCTGGGGTCGCGACGGGCGGACAGACCCGGCGAACGCGACTTTAAAATGAACGCGCAGGTTATCATACGAGCGGGCAGGACCTGACGCCGAGCGGGATTCAGAAGAGGACAATTGAGCTAGCACGGGCTACATTTCGCGTCACTGCGTCTACAACAATACCCACTTGTGCACTCGCCCTTATATCCCCATCCGCACTTATATCCTGGAGCAACCTTATCACCCACGCAGCAAGTTTGAAAAGACTTGGTAGCAAAAAGAAACAACCTTAGGCAGCAGTAAGTGTTTGCTTGAGGGCACTCCAACTCACAGCTCATGGTTTGGAGATGCATGTCGCCAGGATGTTTATGCTGGCGACGCTGCATGGTAGAGTTGAGGTTCTGGACATCGATCGGTGTACCCTCCACTCTCGCCTCCTCATACTGTTTGTGGTTCGGCGTCTCGTCCTTCCAAATGTCCGCGATTTGCGTTTCGCTGGGGCCTGGCGTCCGTGACTGAGTAGCCCCACGCCGTCGGCCTCGTTCGTGGCGTCGCAGTTGTGCGAATCGTCCTCCATCAGGCAGCGTTCCTCCGAGGTCTTGGCTAAGTCGTCGGCGGCAACGCAGCCGCGGCCGACGAGCAGGATGGCGAACGCTCCCGCAAGCACCACGACGTTCATTGCGGCAACGGCGGAGTAACAGGGGCTCGGCAGCAATAGGCGCAAACCAAATGTCCCCTATTCCTGAAGAGTTGCCACAATGTTTTGAACCAAAATGGTTACGGAGCGCCTTGGGGCCATCTTGGACGTCTTGGGGCGATGGTTCGGTGACTCTCTGGGCTGCATTGGACCGTCTTGGAGCCTTCTTGGAGCCCTTTTCAGCACGTTTCGGGACTGCCTTGGGCCGTCTGCGAGCGCTCCCGGAGGCCGCGACACGCCATGCCCCCCGTGGTCCCTTGGCCCTTCCAGGCGGCCTCGTCCCCCGGTATATGTATATATATATATATATGTGTGTGTACGTGTGTGCACTAGAACCATCGCGCGCGCTTCGCGCGCGCTCAGGTTCTAGCCCAGGCCGGGGGGGCGCTGGACGATCTTGGACAACGCTATCAAGCGCAGGCGCGCGACGGCATCTGAGGAGCTTCTGGGGTGTTCCGCATGCTTCGTCAACTGGCTGTTGGAGGCACCTCTTGGGGGGGCGTCTGAGGGTCCCTTGGGGGCATCGGTTCTGCAATCTGAAGCCGTCATTGGCCGTCTTGGCTGCGTGGAGGCCCGACTTGAGGCCACCTGCGGCCAGATTGAGGCAATCCGGAAGCCTCCCGGGGCCTCCTGGAAGCAGTTTTGACGCATCGAGGGCACTCTTGGGCTATTTTAAAACCTCTTGGACGTCTCCTAGGGGCCCTTGGGCCCTCGGGAAGCTTTTGGGGTCCTCTTGCGCCTCTTGCGGCCTCCTGTGGGCCTTTTGGGGGGAACGCTCTGCTGTTGGGTCGCGTTCCCCTTCTTGGGCCTCTCTTGGGGCTCTTGGGGCCCTCTCGGGCCGTCTTGGGCGCCTCAAGCACCGTCTTGGGGCCCTCGCGGGCCGTCTTGGGGCCCTCTTGGAGGCCTCTTCCTCTATATGGGAGCGGTATTGGAAGCCTCTTGGGCCGTCTTGGAGCATCGGGATGCCAAAAGGCCGAAAAAATTAAAACCCGTCAAAGCCCAATCGTAAAACAATGAGTTGTGCCTCTTGGGGCCACCTTGGGAGATCTCTTGGAACCTCGTCGGCCCTCTTGGGAGCTTCTTGGGGGCCTCTTGGATCCGAGTGGGGGCCTCTTGGGACTTCCCGAGAACCTCTCGGGGTAGAAAGCTCGGATTCTCGGTTCGTGTTTCCCTTCTTGGGCCTCTCTTGGGGCCGTCTTGGGGCCCTCTCGGGCCGTCTTGGGCGCCTCAGGCACCGCCTTGGGGCCCTCGTGGGCCGCGCAGGGCCCTCTTGGAAGCCTCTTCGGCTATCTTGGAGCTGTCTGGGAGGCCTCTTCCTCCTCCTCGTCCCCCTCCTCCTCCTCCTCCTCCCACTCCAACTCTCTCTCCTCCTGATCTTCCTCCTCCTCCTCCTGCAGCGTGTTCCGGAAGGCTCCCGCCGGAACATGCTGTGCACAAGTGCTGTCACTGCTCCCGCCACCGTGCCCTGGGTGGTGGGTCAGAGGCCTCATGGGTGTTGGTTTGGATCTCGTGGTTGGCCTGTCGGGGACGTCGTGAAGGCAGTTTCGCAGCTTCTCGGTAGCCGTTTTGGGACCGTTGTGGGGCCTCCTCGGGGCTGTTTTGTAGCCTCTTTAGGCCTCGTTTGGGCCTCCTGGGTGCCTCTTGGGGGCCTCCTGGGGCCTCTTGGGGGCTCCTTGGGGCCTCCTGGGGCACTCTTCAAGCGGGAGGGTCGAATTTTGGAGTCGTGGTCCCCCTCTTGGGCGCATCTTGGGGCCGTCTTGGGGCTCTGTTGGGCTGTCTTGGGCGACTCTGGGGCCGTCTTGGGGCCCTCTTGGGCCGTCTTGGGGCGCCCTTGGGGGCTTATTGAGCCGTCTTCGGACAGCCGAAAAGGCTGGCAGGCCAAAGTCGTTCGAAAACCTTCGTACAATTGACGATTTCGGCCTCTGGAAGCGCTCTGCAGAGGCGTCTTGACGCGTCGTGGAGTGCCTTGGGGGGCCTCTCGGGCCGTCTTGGGCCTATCTTGGGCGTCCTGGAGCGGTCTTTCGGCGACTCGGGGCCCGCTTGGGCCATCTTGGGAGCCTCTGGAGGCCCTCCTGGACTATTTCGGACCTCCCCGGCCGCCCCGTCCTCCCATGGGGGGTCGGAGGCGGCGGCCTCAGAGGCCCAGGACGCGGAAACCCTGTAAAACCACACGGAAAATGAGCCCCGGTACCCCCATGGCGGCTCTTCGGCGCTCTTGGACCGTTGGAAGCTCGAAAACGCGAGAAGCCAAAAACATTGAAAAGACCATTGAACATATAAGACTTTGGCCTCTTCGGGCCGTACCGTGATACCTATCAGACTTCTTGGGGTCTCTTGGAGGCCACCTGGAAGCCTCGAGAGCCGTCGGAAGGCTGACTCGGGCTGCTCGGGAGCGTCCTGGGCCATCCTTTCGCATTCTGGGGGCTCCTGGGGGGCGTCTTGGGCCCTCCTGGAGCGCTGTGGAGGCTGCCGGAAAGGCTGGGGCAGCGGTGCCGGGAGCGTCCCCGAGATGCGGCCATATCTTTTCAGCGCGTTCCGGAAGCATCTTCCCGGAACGCGCTCGTGGCAGGGCGCCCACGTCCGAGGACGTTGGCATGGGAAACCGCAGCGCGTGATCATTCCAGCGCGTTCCGGCGAAGACCGTCCGGAACGCGCTTGGGCAAGCGCT